GTGAGTCATTACATGATACTTTACATGGAAAACCCGAAAGACTCCACCAAAAAGCAGCTAGAACTGATACATGAATTCAGCAAAGTCGCAGGATATGAAATCAATGTACAGAATTATATCAATGTATAAAATTGGTTGCATTTCTATACACCAATAATGAAGCGACAAAAAGAGAAATCAAGAAATCGGCCCCATTTACAATTGCACCAAGAACCATAAAATACCTAGGAATAAACCTAATCAAAGATGTAAAAGATCTGTATGCTGAAAACTATAGAAAACTTATGAAAGACACAAAGAAAAGGAAAAACATTCCATGCTCATGGACTGGAAGAACAAATATTGTTAAAATGTCAATACTACCCAAAGCAATCTACACATTCAATGCAATCCCAATCAAAATTGCACCCGCATTCTTCTCAGAGCTAGAACAAACAATCCTAAAATTTGTATGGAACCACAGAAGACTCCGAATACCCAAAGTAATGTTGAAAAAGAAAACCAAAGCAGGAGGCATCACCATCCCAGACTTTAGCCTGTACTACCAAGCTGTAATCATCAAGACAGTATGGTACTGGCACAAAAACAGACATATAAAACAATGAATAGAATAGAGAACCCAGAACTGGACCCACAAATGTATGGCCAACTAATCTCTGACAAAGAAGGAAAGAATATCCAAATGGAAAAAAGACAGTCTCTCTCATACAGAAGAATGAAACTGGACCACTCTTTTACACCATATACAAAAATAAACTCAAAATGGATGAAAGACCTAAATGTGAGACAAGAAACCATCAAAACCCTAGAGGAGAAAACAGGCAACAACCTCTTTGACCTCAGCCACAGCAACTTTTTACTCGACACATCTCTGAAAGCAAGGGAAATAAAAGCAAAAATGAACTATTGGGACCTCGCCAAGATAAAAAACTTCTGCAGAGCAAAGGAAACAATCAACAAAAGTAAAAGGCAACTGACAGAATGGGAGAAGATATTTGCCAATGACGTATCAAATAAAGGGTTAGTATCCAAAGTATAAAAAATTTAACAAAGTCAACACCTGAAAAACAATCCAGTATAGAAATGGTCAGAAAATATAATAGACATTTTTCCAAAGAAGACATCCAGGGGCGCCTGGGTGGCGCAGTCGGTTAAGCGTCCGTCTCGCGGTCCGGGAGTTCGAGCCCCGCGTCAGGCTCTGGGCTGATGGCTCAGAGCCTGGAGCCTGTTTCTGATTCTGTGTCTCCCTCTCTCTCTGCCCCTCCCCCGTTCATGCTCTGTCTCTCTCTGTCCCAAAAATAAATAAACGTTGAAAAAAAAAATTTAAAAAACAAAAAACAAAGACATCCAGATGGCTAACAGAAACAGGAAAAGATGCTCACCATCACTCATCATCAGGGACATACATATCAAAACCACACTGAGATACCACCTCACGCCGACCAGAGTGGCTAAATAACAATTCAGGAAACTACAGATGTTGGCGAGGATGCAGAGAAACGGGAACCCTCTTGCACTACTGGTGGGAATGCAAACTGGTGCAGCTGCTCTGAAAAAGTGTGGAGGTTCCTCAAAAAATTAAAGATAGAATTTCCCTACGACCCAGAAGTAGCACTACTAGGAATTTATCCAAAGGATACAGGAGTGCTGATTCACATGGGCACATGTACTCCAATGTTTATAGTAGCGCTGACAACAGCTGAATTACGGAAAGAGCCCAAATGTCCATCAACTGATGAATAAAGAAGATGTGGTTTATATATACAATGGAATACTAGCTGGCAATGAGAAAGAATGAAATCTTGCCATTTGCAACAACGTGGATGGAACTGGAGGGTATTAATGCTAAGTGAAATAAGTCAGTCAAAGACAGATATCGTATGTTTTCACTCATATGTAGAATTGGGGAAACTTAGCAGAAGACCATGGGGGAAGGGAAGGTGAAAAAAATAGTTTCAAATAGAAAGGGAGGCAAAGCCTAAGAGAGTTTTAAATACAGAGAAAAAACGGAGGGTTGATGGGTGACGGGCATTGAGGAAGGCACTTGTTGGGACGAGCACAGGGTGTTGTATGTGAGCGATGAATCATGGGAATCTACTCCCCAAGCCAACAGCACACTGTATACACTGTATGTGAGCTAACTGGACAATAAATTATATTTAAAAAGAAAAAAGAACCCTGAGTCATTAGACCATAAATACTGAGAAGTTTCTTCTTCAGTTGTTTCCATAGTTAAAATGTTAATAAGTACCAGTTCCATTTGCCCTACTGTACTTAAGTTATTAAGTTTGGCTATTACACTTACCTGTTTTCAATTAGACCTGACATTTTCCCCAAATCTTCGTAGGTTTGAAATTCCAAACTAATGGGGATACTTGCTTTAAATCTTTTTTATTTTTCAGTTGTAAATTTTACTTATTCTGACCTATAACAGAGGTCCCAAACTGGAAAGCAGGCTACAACTACTGACAGGTTGGGGTTCAAGCAAAAATCAAAAGATACTGTGTTCTATTAAGAAGGCTGAAAACTGGGCCCATATTCATGTATGGCACTAAACAAGTGGACCTGAGAACTAGATTCCCTCTAAGATGAAGCATAAACCCTCTAGTGCAGTTACTTTCATCTGCCTGGTACCTGAAGGCGTAGGAGTTTTGCTATTCATAATGTACTCCTATGAAAGGTGCATATTTTCCAGATCACTCTCACACTTTACCAAGTCACCTAAATGTAAAAAAAACCACAAAGCAGATCTTGCTGGTTTGCAATTTAATAGCTAATAACAAAAAAAATTTTTGGCTCAGGTCACGATCTCACAGTTTGTGAGTTTAGCCCCACATCCAGCTCTGTGCTGACAGCTCAGAGCCTGGAGACTGCTTCAGATTCTGTGTCTCCCTCTCCCTCTGCCCCTTCCCTGCTCTCACTCGAGCTCTCTCTCTCTCCTCTCAAAAATAAACAAACATTTAAAAAAATATTTTAAAATATTTTTTCATTAGGCTTTAAAAAAAGTGTAAGAAAGAAAATATTCTGACTGGTGGAAGGGTGACATAGAAGTAAAAAGCCCATCTGAAAGCTTTTTTGGGAGAAAAAAGGTGAAAGAACTCAAAAACATTGTTGAGTTACTGAAAGCTTTCCTGATTGAACACTATGTTAATTCCATGGTTTATTACCACACTCCATGCTTCAGAATCCCCCTTACTTCCTCTTTATGTATAACAATAGCAGATAGATCATAAACTCTGAGAAATGTTAGGGAAATTTATAAAACACTTCACACCTTCAAAAGTAATTCTCCTTACACTCTTTTAAACAGTCTTAACAACCATCAAGTCCTTTCCCAAGTATTTTCTACCGCTTTTCAATTTACATTCAAATGACAACTGCAGTCCTCATTTTCAAGTCCTGGATGGGCTCTCTAGCACAGAAACTTTTTTTGGCCCTTATGGTTGCATTCCTCATTAGACTTCTTATTCCAGTCTCTATGGCCTATTTCATTCAAAATTTATCCCTAATTCCCTCTCTAAAAGGCCTTGATCAAAGCCTTGTGTGTGGGGAGTGGGGGTGGGGTGCCTAACTGTCCAAATAAAACCAATATACTGCGCTGTTTCATTGAGATTCATTTAAATTAAAAGCATGACGACTCTAAAAGACCAAAAAAAGTTAAATAATCTTTATATGCTAAGTGCACAAAGAGCCGAGCAAGTGACGCTCTATCTTTAGCAAGTGTGGACTAGCGACTTTTTAACATGGACTCTAAGTACTGACAACTACTGTACCAAATCCATGGGCTCCAGGGATGGTCACACTACCCCCACACTAACAAATTACCAAATTATGTCTCGTGTCCCAGCACCCCATTAAGGAGGAAAAAGGGTGTTACGGGACTTGCATCTGAAGAAAGAAAAAACAGGCAGCTTTTCTGTGTAGGTTTTGGGAAAACAAAGCTTCACCATACGTGATACTGTTACAGCAGAAAACCACGCAGCACATTTTTGGACTCTCCTCTTCACCCAAAGGGAGACTGCCTTGCCACTCTATCCTCTATTGTGATGCGCCCTCCTAAGGATGTCGCTGCGTTAGCCCAGTGGTGACAGAAAAAGGGGCGGGACACGGGGTTACTCTGCCCAGGGAAGGAGGGATGAGGGTATCGCCTTCATCCCTTGGGGAAGGGCCTCAGGACTCCCAACCCAAAAACAGCACCGCCAAAAATCCAAATCCCTTCCTTGCCTCTCCGAATCAGGGGCCAGCTGCCGGAGCCCAGAACCCCACCCACGGTCTCCCAGCAGGGTCTGAGACACCCAGACCACCGCCACGGCAGCCCGGCGCTCTAGCCCAGATTCGCCCTCCGCCCCCTTCCTCTTTCGCCCAGCCCAGCCCAGCCTCCGGCGCCGCCCCCACCGAGTTCCCCAGGTGAGTCCAGTCACCCTCGAACCTGCAGTCCCTCTTGAGTGTCCAGGGAGGACCTAGGCGAAGGCGGGGGACCAGCGACACCTCCGCTTCTTCCTCAACTGGGTCCCTCTGGAGGTGTCTGTGGCAGCGGCCACTCAGGCGGCTGCGGCCAGCAGAGCCGCCGGGGCAGGTTACAGGCCGGCTCCTAAGCCTCTTCTCGCGAGAGCCTGGAGTCCGAAGAGGCGAGGCTAGCGGTGTTCTCGCGAGGCTCAGCGCCCGGGAGTGGGCGGGGCGCCGAGGGTGAGGGTGAAAGAGGGAGCGGCCGCTTGCGGTGGGCGTTCTGCCTAGGGGCTGGGGTGGCAGAGTGCTGGGCGCCGGCCCTGAAAGACGTCAAACCCGGATCCTCGGCGATCCTCGTGTCTGAGAGGCCCAAACCTCTGAATCCCACGTTTTTCCTTCGACTTCCTGTTACCGTTAGAAAAAAACGGACAGCGTCTCCTGCCCAGAGTTAGAGAAATAGCTCTGGGACCCCGAGTGCTCTGGGAAGACGTTTCCCTTAATTGAGCAAACTCCGAAATGGCCTTAGCGAGCTCACCTGGCGGCTATTCACCCACCTGGGCTCACGAAAGGCGGTCGTCGTGAGGCCCACCCTCTATGCCTCGGTATCTGCAGCTGTTTGTTTTTAAAAGCTGGCTTGGCGGGAACCGGGTGCCAGCTGAAACTCCTCCTTCACTTGAGCCGCCTATCACACGTCGGGAGGAACCTGGGTCGCATGTTGCTCCTGTGGCCAGAAGGTCGCCAGTTAATAAGAGTTTCAGTCATCCAACTTCTCTGAGCCTACCATGTGCCAAACGCTGGACGATCCTCACGGGGTTGGGGGGAGGAGTGACTAAAAGACGCGGTCTCGGCGCTGGAAGCTCAGACCGCGGGGGCAAGACCCGCCCGATAAATGGAAACCCACTGTGCTGTGATAAAAGCCGGGTTGCCCGCAATGAGCTACGGGAGCAGCAGACAGGGAGTAACCGGCTCTGCCTGGCATGTTGAGGAAGCCTCCACCAGGGAGAGACATTTGAGCTGAATCTTGAAGGATGAGTAGAGTTCTTCCCCGGTTTTGAGAAGAGTGGGAGGGGCGTTGCAAGCAGAGAAAGCAAAGAGGAAGAGGACCTGGTTTGTGTAATTTGGAATGAAAACGGATCTTGCGGAAAGAACTTTGTTGAAAAACTTGTAATCATTGTTTAGTTCGGAAGAGAAAAAAAAACTCCCAGGCCCCCATGCGTGATAACCAAAGTGTTGTCCAAACCAAGGTTTTATGCTAAGGAGATGAATTGTGCTGCACGGTACCGGAAAGTGAATATCCTCTTCCTCATCTAGGTACACTCACACATCAGAGACCTAAAGGGAAACAGGTTATTGTCCTAGTGTGCCCAATTGTTACTGCCAACATTCTGTTAAATTGGAAAATCCCAGTACTCTTTGAGGACTGCTAAGTAGAGCGATTTAACAAATGTTGCAATACAGGGAATCTCATGGAGAAACTTCAGAAACATCCTCAGGCAACAACGCAACAAAAACCTCACCAATCTTGATTTATTATCAAAATGTTCTGCTGTAAGCTAAGATCAAGGGAGGTGATTCTGTAGTCCAAGTTAGGTTTAGAGAGGTCTGTCAAACAGGAATCATTTCCCTGTATCAAAATAGAAGCTATAATTTCCTACAGAAAGTCTCTGATATTCTATAGAGTTTCCACCAATCTTCCTTCAAAAAACATCTTCATTTTTAATATATATATATTTATATATACAATAGTGTCATTTGGCTCACTCTATCCTCCCTACAAATAAGCCCAATACTTAATAGCAAAACAAACAAAAAGTAGTTCTAACCCTGCTATGGGCCAATCAGGTGTCCTCCTCAGCATAATTCACAAGTTCTAGTCCAAGTTCCAGAAATTCTACAGGAGGAATTATGTCAGCAAAGATTTTAGATGAAATTTGGAAACTTTGTTCCATTCTGGAATCAGGCCAAAACATTTTACCTTACTTTGAGGGACCTATAGTCCATCTTATTCTGTTATTCCAAGGAAGGAAGGAAGGAAAGAAGGAAGGAAGGAAGGAAGGAAGGAAGGAAGGAAGGAAGGAAGGAAGGAAGGAAGGAAGGAGGGAGGGAGAAGCAAGGAAGTCTGAAAATCTAATAAAACTATCACCATCATTTGCTTAAAAAAATTAACCTATCAAATATTAATTTGGGGAGCATTGGTAGCATTGTTGCATCCACACGACTCCTGAAACAGAATGCTATGGGCACCAGTGACAGTCACAACAAAGTTTATTACAATGAGAGGCAAGGCCGACCGATCGGAACCAACACTCTTGACAAGAGTGCGGCCCCAAACAGCCGGGGTACAGAGTTTTTATAACCGATCACATCGTTTTATCATCACCTGGGAACAGAACAAAGAAACAGGTTCCAGATGAGTTAGAAACAGTTGCCTAATGAGGTGTTTACTTTAGACTTTCTGCCTCTAAGTTGCAACCAGTGGATCTCCTTGACCCTGCCTCTGACGCTCTTTGTTTTTTTTTTTAATTTTTTTTTTCAACGTTTATTTATTTTGGGGACAGAGAGAGACAGAGCATGAACTGGGGAGGGGCAGAGAGAGAGGGAGACACAGAATCGGAAACAGGCTCCGGGCTCTGGGCCATCAGCCCAGAGCCCGACGCGGGGCTCGAACTCACGGACTGCGAGATCGTGACCTGGTTGAAGTCGGACGCTTAACCGACTGCGCCACCCAGGCGCCCCGCTTACACCATCATTTGTAAATGCTAGCTGACTAACCCCTAATGTCAATCTTCTACAATATTAATCACAATACGCACCAAAAAGATCAATACAAATAAAGAGTTTTATACAGAAGCAATGAATAAATTCCTTTGGTTGTATTGTTGCACCTTGTAATATGGTAAGACAAGATTGTTTCACAGCAGAGGATAAGATAGTTAGCACCTGGAGGGCTCAGTCGGTTAAGCATCTAACTCTTGATTTCAGCTCACATCATGATTCGTGGTTAGTGAGTTCGAGCCCCCCCCCGCGCCCGCGGCTCGCCCCCCCCCACATCAGCATGGAGCCTGCTTGGGAGTCTTTCTCTCCCAGGGTCACTCTGCCCCTCCTTCATTCGCACAGTCTCCAATAAGTAAACTTAAAAAAAAAAAAAAAAAAAGACTTCTAGTTAAATACTTGCTCAGCAAATTAATAAGCCACAGAACCAGAATCCTGTTTAACTTTAAAGCCTGGGATTTCTTGTTACTAGAAGGTTTGAGCACTGTCACCTAACAGCAGGAACAGGAAAATTACACTAACACCAAAAGAACTCTATTCAGCAAACATATTTATAGATTAAGACCCTGTATAAGAATACTAGGGGAAGTACAGGCCTTATGAATATACAGGTTCTAGGATGGGAAAAGATAAGATTCAGTAAGCAGAAAGGGAGAGGCTAAGGCTTGAAGGTCCTGGGTGGGGAAAACACATATTTTAAAACAATGCTGGGGAGCATCTGACCACTAGCAAATGCCTGAGGGCACAAGGTTCCTCTTAAGAATGTAACAAACACCACCTACCCACCCCCTCAGGTTTCCCTCAGGAATTTGACAAAAGACCTAACTAAAAATAAGTAGTAGACCATAAAACATATGACCCCGAAGGAACAGTTTGGCGGTAGAACACCCCCATACAATGGAAACGAGCCAATCAAAAAGGAATGACTAGGCATTTAGAGTTATCTAGCCAATAAGGGTAAAACCTGAGAAGGGACAAGGGGGAAGGAGAGGGGCTGATCAAAACCTTATAGAACAGAGTTTTATAAGTTTGCCTACAGTTTCTGGCATTCACTTTTTTTTTTATATATATATATGAAATTTATTGTCAAATTGGTTTCCATACATGGCATTCACTTTTTTTTTTATTTTTTTTTTCAACGTTTATTTATTTTGGGGACAGAGAGAGACAGAGCATGAACGGGCGAGGGGCAGAGAGAGAGGGAGACACAGAATCGGAAACAGGCTCCAGGCTCCGAGCCATCAGCCCAGAGCCCGACGCGGGGCTCGAACTCACGGACCGCGAGATCGTGACCTGGCTGAAGTCGGACGCTTAACCGACTGCGCCACCCAGGCGCCCCCATGGCATTCACTTTTGAATGAAGAGAGCATTCATACAATTCTTTCTTTCTGATCTTATGCTGTAATAAACTTTTGCCTGCTGCTCATTTTATTTTGTGTCCACCTCTTCATCAATGCAGCGAGACAATGAATCCCAGGTATTAAGTAAAAACAAAAACAAAAACAAAAACAAAAACCTCCCAAAACATTTCTACTGACTTAAATGAGATGTGTAAGTAACAAATATAAGGAAAGCAAGCTGGGTGGTAAGGAGATAATGTGCTGTGAGAAATCAGAGATAGGAAAGATTACTTCTAATTGAAGAGATGAAGAAAGTGCAGGAAAGGGGGAAGATGGATGTTTGATTTGGGAACCTTGAAGAATAGATAGGATCCATGCATGAAAAGATAATAGGAAAAAACAGCTGTTTTTGTTTGTTTGTTTGTTTGTTTTTGTTTTTGTTTTACGTAAAAACTATGCCCAACATGGGGCTTGAACTCATAACCCAGTGATCGGATCACATGTTCTACCAACTGAGCCAGCCAGGTGTCCCAGGAAAGGACATTCTTATGGAGAGATCAACAAAGGCATATTAATGGCTAAGCTATGTATCCTTTAGGGGCAATAATGACCCATTTAAAAAATGAATAGGATGCAATGTGAGAAAAGTAAAATGGAATGGAGACATAATAATGGCCTGGAATGTTGGGTTAAAGTAGAGGTCTGCAAACTTTCTGTAACTTGTTAGCTTGCAATAAGGGTAAAATCTCAGACCTTTCACAGCTTTTGACAATTCCTATTAGGCTTTGTTTTGTAGAGATTGACATAGTGATCTAAAAATTTACATAGAAATGCAAAAGCCCTAGAACACGTATTTTTTAAAAAAAAGAGAACAGGAGCGCCTGGGTTGCGCAGTCGATTAAGTGTCCAACTTCGGCTCAGGTCATAATTTCACAACAGTTCATGAGTTCGAGCCCCACATCAGACTCTGTGCTGACCGAGAGGAGCCTGGAGCCTACTTAGAGTTCTGTGTCTCCCTCTCCTTCTGCCCCTCCCCTGCTCATGCTCTGTCTCTCTCTCTCTCAAAAATGAATAAACATAAAAAAGAGAGAGAGAGAGAACAAAGTTGGAGAACTTACATGTCAAGATTTCAAAACTTATTACAATACTACAGGAATCAAGATGGTGTGGTGTTGGCACAGAGCTAAGCCTATTGCTTAATGGAATAAGTTGTGAATCCAGAAATAAGCCTTTACATTTATGGTCAGTTGATTTCTAGCAAATGTACCAAGATAATTCAATGAGGAAAGGATAGTCTTTTCAAAAAAACAAACAAGCAAACAAAAGACCCTTAGGTCCTTACCTCACATCATACACAAAAATATTAATCTTAAATGGATCATAGGCCTAAATATAAAAACTAAAACTAAATTTGATAGGGGCACCTGGGTGACTCAGTCAGCAGAGCATCTGACTCTTGATTTCATCTCAGTCATGAGCTCATGGTTCATGAGTTCAAGCCCTACATAGGGCTCTGCACTGGTGGTGTGGAGCCTGGTTGGGATTCTCTCTCCCTCCCTCTTTCTCTGACCCCCCCCCCCCCATGCTCACATGATTTCTCTCTCACTCTCTCAAAATAAATAAATAAACTTTTTAAAAAACTATAAATTTGATAAAAGAAATCAAAGGAGAAAATCTGCATGGTGTTGGGTTAGACAAAGAAGTCCTAGACATGATAGCAAAAGACAAGTCATTTTAAAAAAATTGACAAATTTAATTATTACATTTAAAGTGACAAGTTTAATCAATAAAATTGAGAATTCTTGAGCTTCAAAAGACACCATTAAAAGAGTGAAAAGACAAACCACAGACTGAAAGGAAATGTTTGAAATCATAATAAGGAGGTGTATCCATAGTACATAAAGAACTCTTATAACTTAATAAGACAATCCAATGAAAAAACAGCAAAGGACTTACACAGACCTGTCTATGATGATATACAAATAGTTAATACACACAGGAAAAGATGCTCAGTGCCATTAGTCATTTAGTAAATGTAAATTAAAGCTACAATGAGATAAATTACAACTGCACACTCAC